GAGTGCTGGGATTAAAGGTGTGTGCTGCAACCACCCAGCTAGAAGAAATATTTTTGTATTAATTAGCTGGACTGTCACCTCTGTATCTGTGACACACACATACACAAAGCTGACACATCTGGCAATGACAGAACAGAGACAAAGACAGACAGACAGACAGACAGGCACACACACATAAACACATGGAGGAGAGGAGAGAAGCAAAGGGAGAAGAGGAGTGGAAGGAAGAGAGAAAGGAGGAAAGAGGGGGAGGCAGAGAGGACACACACAGTGATGGATAATTAACCATTAAACTATCTGACAGAAGATGGACGCTTAGAAGCCCCCACAGAAGACATGATGTCATTCTGACTGCAGGCCGCTTGTAAGGAACACTGCGCTCAACCTCCTTGCACTCACTAATGTAACACAGAACAGTGTTTTCCCCAGTGATCCGCAGAGGGGGAGAACCCTGCATCTGGGCCATGCCTGCCCAGATGGGTCATGGCTGACCCACTGGGGTGGTACTCAGCCTGTAGGAGTACCCAAACTAGGCAGAAGGGCTACTTTCTGGAAATTTTACTAAGAATGGTTCGGCAATGCCTACCCACCCCCCAGCCCTATTCATTGGTTTCTGCTTCTTTTAGCCTGAGCCAGACACAATATGGTTTAGCTAAACCTGTAGGTGATACATCCATAATGCATAATGGTTATTAACAGAAGCTCCTCCCTTCCTCTGGGAGTTGGAAGATGTCTCCATCTTTCCTGGATTGATCAGGAAAAGCTGTCAGCTTTCCTGTGTTGTGTCCCCCGCACAGATAACCTTCTGGGTTAAATGGACTTAGGACTTATGCACTCTTCTAAGCCTGGGCGGAAGGAAAAGGGATTAGCAGGGCCTCATTGTGGGCTTGATCTTGTTTGATCTTAGGTAAGTCACTTTGGCTCTCTGCGCTCCAGTTCCCTACCTATAAAATGAGGATTTGGGATTAGAGACTTTTTTTCTAAGGTCTTTTCTAGCTCTGGACACCTGTAATTCTCATGCCCAAAGTGAGACAGCCAAGGTATGAAAAGTAAACTCCAAGTACTCTGGTGAGTGTCTGGAGTGCAAGCAAAACAGATTTCTTGCTTGAATTTTATTTTATTTTTTATTTATTTAGTGGTGCTGAGGCTATGACCCGAGGCCTCACATATGCTAAACGCACACTCCACCACTGAACTACACCCCAATCCTGCAGCCTCCTGGATCCTTGAGCCATAGCCTGGAGATCCTTGCCTATGTGCAATAAGACTGGCTGCTTGGTAGTCTATCATCACTTCCAATCTAGGGGGCTAGATATTACCGTCTAAAGTAGAGCTCAGTGTAAAGAACAAGGGCTCTGGGTCTCAGTTGCAACCCTAGCAATCACAACAGATTCCTGTGCCTTTGGGCAAGCAATCTCATCCATCTCAAACTCAGTCTTCGTATCTGTCAAAGGGGAATGATAAAAATCCCAATTCTAGGCTGGCAAGATAGTTCAGCACTGGGCACCCAGTCTAACGGCCTGACTTCAATTTCTGAAACTCACAGGGGGAGGTGGGGGAGAGAATGGGTTTCACAAGTTGTCCTCTGACTTCCACATGCGTGACTTCACACACACACACACACACACACACACACACACACACACACATTACATGTAGATTTTTTTTAATTAAAAATATTTTAGCAGGGCGGAGTTGGTGCATGCCTTTAATCTGAGTACTCGGGAGGCAGAGTCAGGTGGATCTCTGTGAGTTCGAGGCCAGCCTGGTCTACAGAGCGAGATCCAGGACAGAGGCACCAAAACTACATGGATAAACCTTGTCTCAAAAAAACCAAAAAAAAAATGTTTAAATCTTAATTGCTAGGGTGGCTTATCAAGTAAGACATAATATGACTAGCTTGGGCTTTGTTTAGTCAATAATCAGAAGGTTTTCTGTTTAGTTTAGGTTTATTTTTATTATTTGTAATCATGTGTAGGTATGTGCACATGAATGAATGTGTCTGCAGAGGCCAGAGGCATCAGGTATCTCTCTAGAGCTGGGATTACAGAGTCCTCTGAAAGAGGACTTTTATGTGCTTTTAACCACTGGGCCACTTCTGCAGCCCCAATAAATAGAAGTGTTCAATTATTACCCCTAATAATTAGAGGCATTTCTTTTACATTTTATTTTAGATTTCTTTTGTGTGTATGAGTGGTTTGTAGTGAACATGCAGGTGCTCCTTTCCCTGAAACCACAGTGATGGATGATTATGAGTCACTGGGGGGGAAGGGGGGGCTGAGAGTTGAACCCAGGTCCTAGAGCGGTTGTTATTGCAGAGGGCCTGGGTTCAAGTGCTCTTAACCTCTGAGTTACCTCTCTACCACCCCAGGGGGGACTGCTTGAGTATGTGTTAACCAGGAAATGTTGGATTGTAAACGTTATGAGGTGCAAGTGGAGACATGGTGATTAGAGAAACAGATGGGCTTCAGGCTCCTGAGGATAGCCCTGATAAGGAAGATGTCGCTCTGAATAAGTCAAAGCAGGCATCCCCAGCAGAGGCTACCATGTGTGCCACCCGTGGGATACAAGGGGGCAAGCCTAGGAGAGGTCATACTATTCTGTTCCAGAACTGAGGAGTCTCTAGCACTCCCCTGCCAGGCTGGTATTTTACCATCTCTTTTATAAGCTGACAGCCTACTCCTGCTGGCTGAACTCTAGGGCAGCCTCAGCCTGCCACACCGTTCTCTCTCTCCCCCAAAGGGCGACCAGCTTTGACAGTCGTCTTCAAAGCAGGTGTAGGCACTCGCTCCTTGCAAGCAGTCAAAGCGCCAGGCACAAGCTACTCCCTCTTCATCCCCTGCCATTTGCTGTGCGCCACCATCTTCCAGACACCCTGCTCTCTCACCTGCCAGGTTCACCATCTCCCGGGTCTCATGCGCCACTGAGGGCTCTTGCCGAATTTGTCCTTAGAGCCTCCTCCCTGAACTGTGTTACAAGGCTTTGTCCTCTTGAAAATATCATCTTCCCCCAAAAGCCCATATTAAGCACTTATCTGCACGTGGTGTTGTGCTGATCTCTGTTTCTAGTGAGTCACACTGTCACAGGCTCTGCCCTCTGGGGAAAAAAGTCTGGGATATTTGGCAGAGACTCTGAAATCCAGTTTGGTTAAATACAGGGGTGACAGGAAGGGAGGAATGGTTTAAAATCCTCCCTAAGGCCATTGGGTAAGGACTCTATCCACTATTCACCTCCCACTCCTCTTTTCTCTCCGCCTCCCTCCCCCTTCCTCTCCCTCTTCCCCTAGACCCCACATACTTCTTTTTTCCCACCACTCAAATTCCAGGTGACTTTTCCACCGGCCCCTGACCTGTAAGCCTAGGGAACTCTTTAGCTCATCACAAGACTTGACTTGAAATAAATGATAACATTAAACATGAATGATTTTGAAGGTGTTTCAAAATGCATCCATTGATTTATTTCTACTTTGGCAAAAAAAGGCATATCTCAGACTTTCCAGTGTCTAATAGCCATATACTAAGGAAACTAGACACCATACAGGAAGAAGCCCTGAGTTGTGCAAACATTCAACATGAGAGTCCTTGAAAAAGATAGGGATAGATGCCCGCATTGATTTGAAAAGGACATGAAGCAATCCCCCTCTCTTCAGAAGTGGAAGAAGAAGAAGAAAACAAAAACAAAAACAAAACAAAACAAAACAAAACAAAAAAAACCCGGCAAGTTCAAAAGAATGGACTCTCTCCCCAACCGGGAGGCTCTTCCTTAGCTTCCCCCAGTCTTCCTCAAGCACAGTGTTTGGGTTTGTTTTCTGAAGCCATTTGAAAATGCAATCATTTTAATCACCAAGAAATCTTGCACAATTGGGAATGTTCCCCAGTTCTTCTCTCCACTTCACTTAGAAGACAGGCCAGGACATGTGGCTACTTCGGTTGTTTGACCAGCAAGAAGTTTACCTTCCCCTTTGGCCCTCCTTGGGGTCCAGCTACCGGCTCAAGCCAAGGCCAGCTATGAGTCTAGAGGAATTGGTCTTTAGAATCCCTGGTGCCTTCTTAGAAGATGTCCAGGACACACAAAGCTGTCCTTGCCATGTCCTGCTTCCTGCCACCTCTCCCTGCACATTGACATATTCCTGTCTTACTGGGTTTCTACCTTTACTGCACTCAATGAACATGCAAATATTTTTGCTTGACCTATTTAATAAACTGTGGGGAGAGAGTCAAGGCACTTCCCCTGGCCCTCAGATAAGTTGTTTTATGTTTTCCCAATAGGCCTTCTGAAGACAATACCAGCAGAATGAGCCGTGGGCACTTGGTTCATTAGGTTCCCCAAAGCAAGCAAAGAAACAAGTATTGGAGGGGGACTGCCCCCAAAGAACAAGTTTTGGTGATTATGAAGAGCCAGCGGGTGACTCTGTCTCAGTCTTCAAAAGGGCTCACAGCTCTGTGACACAACCAGCTCTCCATTCCACCCCCATTCCAACTCAGCCCTAATCTGAAGTGTAAAATATAATTTAAAATAAAGCAGTTTTCACGCTCCATGAATTCCCAACCTTCCTAATGTCACAGGGCTTAGCCAAGATGATTTTTTTTTTTTTGCAGCCTATTGACACCCAAGAGGTAGAAAAGACCTCAAGATTCGTAAAGTGCTTTGGGATCCATCCCACAAGACTAGCACCAGAGATGTCTCAGGCCTTCCTGTGTTCAGGGGTGTCTCTCCTGCTCAGGGTCGAGGACAATTTCAAACCTGCTTTTCCAGGCAAGAGCTCTAGGGCGAGGGCAAAGGGTAAGAATGCAACCACTCTGGCTTGCCAGAAAAATTGGGTTAGGTGGGGATGGGGGCCCCCCGAAAGAAGCTAAAAAGGGGCTGAGGATGTAGCCAGGGTTTTGAGCTCGGCAGGTGGCGACACAACCAACGCTAGACATTTATTATCACCAGAGCTATACCTCAGGCGAAACCCCCTCCCAGGTCCCTCCCTTCCCGGACCTGACCAGCTGGATCACCTTGATCTTCTCGCCCTCGATTTCCACGGTCTTCTCCCTGAAGTCCACACCGATAGTGGCCTCAGTCTTGTCTGGGAAAGTACCCCCGCAGAAGCGGAAGGTCAGGCAAGTCTTGCCCACGTTGGAGTCCCCAATCACGATGATTTTGAAGATACGAATCTGCACATACTGGTCCATCGATGAGTCAAGCTCTAGGGATGTCAAACCAGCAGCTGAAGCGGGCTGTAAGCTCCCATGGCCCAAGATGGGCTGCGCCATCTCCCCGGGACAGGACCGGGGTCCCAACCCCACTCGAGGGCTCCACACAAAGAAAGCGGCCACGTTAGTGCGCTCAAGGCGAGAGAGCTTTGTGCGTGTGTGTGCGTGTGTGTGTGTGTATGTGTGTGTGTGCGCGCGCGCGCGTGTGCGTGTCTGAAGTGTGTGTCCGCCTGTGTGTGCGTGCGCCGGCAACGTGTGTGCACGCGCACTTGAAGGGGGTGCTCTCACCCTAGGCACCCCTCCTCCTTCCCCAGTGCACCCTCCTTGCAGCTCCCAGGCACAGACACAAAAGCTTGAGAGAGAAGAAACGGAGAACCGGCCAGTCTGGAGCCCCCTCCTTCTGCCTGTGGGTGAGCTTCAGGACTGCAGGCTCAGGCTGTGCCGCGCCTTAGCCTAGACCCTCCCCTGTCTGGACCCCAGGGACACACTGGAAGGAGAAAGCCCAAGCAGAACAGGGAAAGGGATGCGGAGAGTGGCACACGCCACCCCAGAAGAGCCTTCCCTTCTTGTCCCCAGTTCTGTGGTGGGATTCAGGGTTCCCACTCCCACTTAACTTAGAGCGCATAGGGTCAGTGGGCAGTGAGCACAGCTGGGGAGGACAAAGAGAGCTGTACCCTAAGGCATCACTGGAGAGCTTCGGGTCCGGTGCAGCACTAGGCGGTGGGGGGTTGGATATACCCCTTTCACCTCCACAGCAGCTGACAGCTGTGCCGCTGTGGTTCCCTGCCTCCCCCAAGTCTTAGGATAAAGAGGTGTTCAGTCTTACTGAGTAAGCAGGTGCACTTTGGGGGGCCTAAGAAATTGGGGAGGGCACTGACAGGACACCAGTACACGCAGTGGCTTGTGGAAGGCACCCATGCAGCTGAAAGGAGGCAGACATGGGGCACGGCTGTGAATGTGTAGGGGATGTTACAGTTTCTGTCAAAGACTTGCCAGATGTAGGGGGGCGCGTACCAGGCGCCAACCTCCCCTCATCACACCACGAGCACCCACCCTCTTGAATGTTCAAGAGGGCGGCTCCCATTGGCTGCTACAGTCGGTTGTGTTTGGCTGGCCAATGGGGAAGGCCCGCCGCTGGAGAGGGCCATCCAGAGGATAGGAGAGGGGGGGAAACTAGTGAGGACAGCGCCAGCAAAGGCGGACTTTGTTTCTGTAGCTAACCATTACAGGCCCAGGTGAGGGCACATGGGACATGACATAAACCCCGCAATTCCTGACACTCTGAGCCCTTCATAGAGCCGTTCGCTCCCAGAATGGCGGAGTTTCAAATGGAATTGAGAATCCCAAGGAGGGTTCACCCACCCCCTGAAAGTGAATGTAGAACAAAGTGGTTGGGTCTAATTTGCCAGAAGCCTAGATTATGCTTGGAAGATGATAAATGAATACAACTTTCTTACAATGTCAGAGGGCAGCTTCCCAAGGCTTGCTAACCAACACACAACTTGGTCAAGACCTGTATTCCTTCTCCCAAGTGAGTTTCAGGTTCAGAATTAGTATGACATCAACTTAGGTATAATTTGTATACAATAAAGAAGACCCATTTTATGTTTGTTTTAGGAATTTTCTCATCTCCCTCATATTTCATAGACTAAGGTAGCACTAACATATGCCATTAGCATCCATGTATGAGATATTGCTAATGTCTTCAAGGTCAGGGGTTCCAGCAGCACACATGAGCTGCCATTTTGCATGTGAGGCTGATCTACAAGGAAGAGACAATGTGATTAAATCCATTTCCTCTAAGGAAAAATAAAACAATTCAGTATCTCAGTGATGTGTGTGTAAGCATATTGGAATGTGAATGTTCAGCCAAGTTCAAGTTATTCAAAATACAGTCTTCTATTTAATCTTATTCCTGAGTTAGGAGATGTATTTATAGCCCTTTATCACACATGTGGGTCACCCATTCCTAAAACCCTTGATTATACTAGTCAACATAAAAACCATCCAGAGAAGGAGTTGGTTAATCCAAGACCACCATTATGTATACCAGCAATCATCATGGCACAGTAGTTTTGTTTCTCAATTGACTGTTTTCTATATAATAGAAATTATTATTCGATTATTTCTTGTTAAAAAAAACCCTCTGATGCCTCAAGTGATCTATGCTCTTAGAAGAGTGACTGTAACGTAACGATAAGATAGGAGGTACAGTGCTTGCCCTGGCAAGGGAGAGGCAAGGTAATCAGAGGGTTAAGGTCATCCTTGGCTACAGAGTGAATTCGAAGCCAGACTGGGCTATAGGAGACTGTCTCCAAAAAAAAAGTGAGGGGAAGTAACTATTAATGCCACAGCATTTACATTCAGTGGAAAGAGGTTCTGCCAACTTATGGGTAGAATTTATGCTGCTTACCTCAAGGAAAAAAATTCTATCTACCTAAATTTATTCAGATGATTCTGGCAAAAAAAAGTTGTCACTGGGTCTTCCTTTGTAAGTTTGAATTTTTGATTTCTAGAAATATGATATTTTACAATGGGTTTTTATCCTGATGAAATGTTTGTTACCACATACTTTTGGAATTAGTTTGGCGAGTATATTGCTAGGGTAAAAAGAGTAAAATACAGTTTTTAAGTAAAAGGACAAGAGAAACACCTCTTTGCACCTATCACAAAAAAACATGTATTTTGCACTTTTTGTTTTAATTATGCATTATTAAATTATTTTTTAATATATTCAGTTGTTTCATAATCACACCTGACTATCATAATTTTGATAGTATTTTTCCAAAGCCATCTTTTTTAAAATATAATTTATTTAATTTTACTTAATGTGCATTGGTGCAAGGGTGTCGGATCCCCTGAAACTGGAGTTACAGACAGTTGTAAGCTGCCATGTGGGTGCTGGGAATTGAACCCAGGTCCTCTGGAAGAGCAGCCAGTGCTCTTAACCACAGAACCATCTCTCCAGCCCCCCAAAGCTGTCTTTATCAGCAGCTATAATTAACTTTGTATTAAACAAATGCATGTTTGTTATTAACCTTTATTATTAACCTGATGTTGTTGTTAAAAGATTGCATCTCCCTATGTTATTCCAAGCTGACCCCTAAGCTGCTTGGATCAAGTGCTCCTCTTGCCTCAGTCCCTCAGTATACTATGGATTTCTAGAAATAACAAGGAGTAATATCTATGCTTTTAAAATATAAAATATATTTAGTTTATTCTGGAATTTATATTTTCAATATTAACCCCCCAAAGCAGATCTAGATTTAAAAAAATGTCGCTCTTAAGGGCTGGAAAGATGGGTCTGTGGTTAAGAGGACTTGTTCTTGCAGACGATTGGGGTTCAGGGCTCATCACCTACATGGCCAACCATCCATAACTCTAGTCCAGGGGATATGATGTTATCTTCTGACCTCTGAGGGCACCAGGTGTGCACATGGTGCACAGACTTACATGCAAGCAAAACACTCATACACATAAAATAAAATAAATCTTTTTTTTTTCTTGAGACAGGGTTTCTTTGTGTAGCTTTGGCTATCCCAGAACTAGCTCTGTAGACCAGGTTGGCCTTGAACTGACAGAGATCTGCCTGCCTCTTCCTCCTGAGTGCTGGGTGGGATTAAAGGTGTGCACCACCACCACCACCACCACCACCACCACCACCACCACCACCACCACCACCACCACCACCACCCCTGGCAAAATAAAATAAATCGTAGAAAATGTTACTCATTAATTACATTTTGGGACTTTGGAGGAAGCTGTCTTTTTGCTGTTTGTTTTTGAGACAGGCTCTCTCTATGTAGCCCTGGCTGGGCCTCCAACTCACAGAAATCCCCCTGTATCTGTGCCCCTAGTGCTGGGATTGAAAGCTTGTGACAACACATGCAGCTTGTTTTTATTTGTTTGTTGTTTTGTTTTGTGTTTCTTTTTTCTTTTTAATCGAGACAGGGTCTTTTGTAGCCCAGGCTTTCCCCAAACTCAGTAAATAGCTGAGGATGAGCTTGAGCTCTCTCGATCCTCCTGCCTCTGCTCCCATGTGCTGTCATTACAGGTATTCGACAACACTCGTAGCTTCATTACTTGCAATTTTAAACATTGATCAAATCTGCTCAATGGATAAAGAAACTTTGGGTGTTTTCGTGCAATGAATCCTGTGTCCTGGGTTAAACTTCCTAAAATATACCTTTGCAATTGCATCCCCTATTCATTTCCAAGAAAAAAAAAGGGCCGGGGCGGTGGTGGTGCATGCCTTTAATCCCAGCACTCGGGAGGCAGAGGCAGCAGGAGGATCTCTGTGAGTTCGAGGCTAGCCCGTCTCCAAAGCAAGTTCCAGGAAAGGCGCAAAGCTACACAGAGAAACCCTGTCTTGAAAAACCAAAAAAAAAAAAAAAAAGAAAAGAAAAGAAAAAGAAAAGAAAGAAAGGAATTTCATCACTTACAAGGGTTAGGGCCAAATTCATTTGACAATTCAAATTTGGCCCCATCACACTTACCGTCCTTATCACTACTTCCTAATACAGGATGTCTTTTGTCATTGTCTCCTGAAAATGTACTGAACTTTATTTCTTTATTTCTGAAATTTTTATTTTGTTATTACTATTTAAAACTTCAGAGGGTGTTTGTGTGCGGTGCTTCAAACTGAATGGAGGATCTTGTAGTGTTAGTCAAACACTGCCTCTGAGCTATACTCCCAGCCTGGGGTGTTGTTTTGAAACAGTCTATGTTGCTCAGGTTGGTCTAGAGTTCATGATTAGGTTCCATGTGCTGAGAAATTATAGGCTTGCATTCTTAAGTCCAACTGTCTCCAGACCAGTTGAGGCAATTGGGTGACTTGTCCAAGTAGCAGAGACAGGATTCAACCTAGGTCCCTGTGGAGTCCAGGTCAATATGCTTAAACCCCAAAAATATTACCTTCAGTCTCGGTGCATCCACCTCTGAAATACTATTCGTTCTCCTCCACTACTTGAAAATTACTGATCATCCTTCAAGACATAGTTCAAATAACACTTCTTTATTACGTTTTCCCCTAGGGATTCCATCCCAAACCCCTTTCTTGAAATGGCTCTGTGGTAGGTATCATTTAAAAGACCAATAGACCCATTTCTCCAACTGAACAGAGCTCACTCTCCATACTTTTCATATCCACAAAAGCCTCTTACATAGTACTGTTCAATAGCATGGCACAGGGTCTCCTCACCAGGAAGCCTTCGCTGGCCTGATATAAACCAAGCTGGCTTCAAATTTACGTGCTGTTCTCCTGTCTCTGCCTCTGTGACAGGCAGTATACCACCACACACAGCTTCACTGGATACTTAATATGCAATTCAAATCTTTGAAAAAGGTGTATGTGTTCTGCCCACAGGAGAGCAAAAGACCTATTTTCTCTCA